TGGGGTCACTGGGACCCACAGAACACAGAACAAGAAATTTCATCTGTGTTTCACTCTTAATAAAATACATAAATCATCTAGGCACTTGTGGCTCTTGCCTATAATCCTAGCTATTCAGGAAGCTGAGATCTAAGGCTCACAGTTTGAAGTCATTCCGGGCAGACAAATCTGAGAAACTCTTATCTCTAATTAACCAGCAAAACCCTCAAATTGGAGGTGTGACTCAAGAGATTGAATGAAAAGCCAAGTGAGAGTACGAGGTTCTGAGTTCAAGCCCTAATAAAACATCAGACAATTAGCATGCAAGTCAGAGTTTTTTTCTTTTTCTTTTGATCTGACTCCATGAATTTATAAAGTAGGATGCATTAGGGAAGGCCAGGAGAATGCTATCTTGAAAGTGTATGTGGAGTAATTTCAAAGACTTGCATCAGTGGAATTCCTGCAAGATTCATTAGAGCCTGAAGAGTATATGTACAAAGATCCTGCCAATATTCACAACACTTCAGACATTGGCCATAAAACTCCTGCCAATTATGAAAGATTGATGATTAACCTTACAAAATAGTATGTGTTCGGAATGCATAGAAATAGAACCACACTAGGTTTTTTTTATTTGTGTGTGCCATCTTGGAGCTTGAACTCAGGGCATAGCCACTGTCCTTGAACCTTTATGCTAGTGCTCCACTACTTTGAGCCACAGCTCCATTTCTGGCTTTTTGGTAGTTAATTGGAAAGGAGTCTCACAGACATTACTGCGGAGGCTGGTTTTGAGCTGTGATCCTCAGATCTCAGCCTCCTGAGTAGCTAGGATGACAGGAGGGAGCCCTTCATTGCCCGGTACAACCAGCGTTTTATTTTGAATTTGAGAAAGAGAAAGATAATACACAAGTTTGTAAGAGCAAAATACATACATGGTTTGTGATCATTTTAGCCACTCTGCCTTTGCTTATGTGGTGCTGAGGAATCGAACCCAGGGCCTCATGCATGCGAGGCAAGCGCTCTACCACTGAGCCACCTTCCCAGCCCTCCACGCTGCCTTTGGAACTTCTCCCTATATTAGAATTCCCTAACTTCCCAGATGTTAGCATAGATAATTGCCTTCCCACGCTTCATAACTAACAAGCAGGACTGGAATTCACCATTCAGATCCACCGGCCATCAGATCTGTGACTTGGGAGCCAGGAATTCAAAACAAAACAAAACTCAGAAGCAGCAGCAATGGCAACCCCAGTGCAGAAATAGTAATAACCAACCAAGAAGTGACGGCACCTGCCCCCACTCGGGACAAGTCAGCCACTGTGCTGTTGGGGAATAAAGCTTCAGGCGCAGAACTAGCAGCTGGGCTGTTAGGGTGGCAGTTGTGGGATTTCATTTCTTGCTGAGAATCATCTCAACTTTCTTTTTGGGAGTTACTGGGATTTGAACTCAGGGCGGCGTCCTTGCTAGACAGGTGCTCTACCATTTGAGTCACTCCTCCAGCTCAGCATCTTTTCTATTTTTTACAGAAATATTGCCCATTATATAAAATCCATAGTCTATGAAAAGGTCAATGTATATGTTTCCATGTGCATGCATGAATGCACGTGCGCATGCACACGCACACACACATTTTATAGGTTTGCTAATGAAACAGGTATCATATTACATAGTTTTGTGCTTGCCCTTATACTGATCTTTTTTGTTTTGGTACCAGTCCTGGGGCTTGAACTAATGTCTGGCTGCTGCCTCTGAGCTTTTTGCTCAAGGCTAGTGTTCTACCATTTGAATCACACCTCCACTTCTGGATTTTTGTACATGTGTGTGTACATAAGTGTATATCGTACATAAGTACAACTGTGCATAAGTGTCTCAGAGAGTTTCTTGCCCAGGTTGCTTTCAAACCATGATCTTCAGATCTTAGTCTCCCAAGTAGTTAGGATTACAGGTATGAGCCACTGACTCCCGGCGACAATGCATTTTTGATGCCTTTCATTGGCAATACATTTCTAAATAGTTTTGATGACTATTAAGAGTAATATTTTGGGGGCTGGGAAGGTGGCTCAGTGGTAGAGCGCTTGTCTTGCATGCCTGAGGCCCTGGGTTCGATTCCTCAGCACCACATAAGCAAAAAGAAAAAAGCCGGAAGTGGTGCTGTAGCTCAAGTGGTAGAGTGCTATCCTTGAGCTGAAGAGCTGAGGGACAGTGCCCAGGCCCAGAGTTCAGGCCCCATGACTGGACCTTCCCCTTCCCCCCCAAAAAAAGAGTAATATTTTGTAGTCAGAAGCTTCAACAAATACTCTTGTGCCGAGTATTTGAGGTGGCTGATAGCATAGATCAGTGATAGAGCACTTACCTTGCGTGTGTAACCTCACCACAAAGAACAAACACCCCAAATGCCCCAATAAAAAAATCAAACTTTTGGTATATCTCTCCTGATTATTGCTTCAAGATAAATTCTAAAGCAATAGGAGAAATTCTAAAGCATCTATTCCTAATTGGCAGATCATGACCAGTGAAAACAGAATCTCTTAAGGCTGTTCAATCATAACATGGCTTCTCAGGAGCTGATCTTCTGGTGACCTCTGGGAGGTGTTGAATATCAAGCATTGACATGGAACTTTATAATATGGAAATTTCAGATAGAAAAGTATTTTTATTGATTTTGCTGGTCCTGGGGGTTGATTCAGGGCCTGGACACTGTCCATGAACATTTTTGCTCAAGACTAGTGCTCTACCACTTGAGCCACATCTTACTTCTGGCTTTTTGGTGGCTAATTGGAAATAAGAGACTCATAGTCTTTCCTACCCGAGGTGGCTGTGAACCATGATACTGAGGTCTCAGCTTACTCGTGTGAGCCAGTGGTGCCTGGCTCAGGAAAATATTTTTAGGGGTAAGGAACTTGGTATCTGTTAAGAGGGAACTTGCTCACCAAAGCCATTTTAACAGGGCTTACTCAACTTCACCATCTTAAGAGTTCACTCAGCCTCTGTGGCTCTATTTTGCTTTTGTGATTCCATCTTGAGACTAGATTCTTAGGGTTGGACATTTAAAGCTATGTATCCATTGTTCTGTTTATGTTCCTAGGCAGCGAGTCATAGAAACAGGTCAAGCGGCCCTTGCTCAATGCTTGCTTACAGCATTGTCTAGCTGTAACTAGACGCTGTAACTTCCTGCTTGGCTTGCACCTGCAGAAAAGAACACTTAGGGACTTTCCACCTGTGAGCAAACAAGGAGGTGGGTTTTCTGTCTTAAAAGGGGCCCCTAGAACAGGCCTGGGACTGCACTTTGGGCACCCGGCTGCCCAGTGTAATCCGGGTTGGTAGTAAAGACTTTCTATTGGTTGTACTGTCTGTGTGGTCTTTCTTGGTGGCTTAACCCACAACACGCACTGAGCCAGGTGCTGGTGGTTTACATCTGTAATCCTAACTTCTCAGGAGGCTGAGATCTGAGGCTCATGGTGCGAAGACAGCCCAGGCAGGAAAGAAGGAAATGGAGCTGTGTATGATGTGGTAGAGGCCAGCCTTGAGAAGGAAGCTCAGGGACAGAGCCTAGGCCTGCAGTTCAAGTCCCAATAGTAGCGCGCACGTGCACACACACACGGAGCTATGTGCTTCAGAGATGTTATTGTAACTAATCATCATACTGGTACTACCAATGGGTACTTCTAGCTTTATCAGAAAAATGAAAGTCCAGGGAAAAGGGTCAGGGGAATCTTACCTGGGGACTGGAACTTTGAAGCAAGCCTTGCTTTATCTAGTCATTTATTTATTTCACGGCTTGCTTTCTCACTGATACAAACTCATTTTTTTTTTAAGTTTTAAAATGTTTGCTTTTTCCTTATTGTCAGTTCTGGGATCCCCCTTGGCTTTTTCTGTGTAAGGTTAGCACTCTATCACTAGAACCACGGCTCCACTTCTGGCTTTGCTGGTTAATTGGAGTTAAGAGTCTCACAGAATTTTCTCCATGAGCTATTTGAATGATGATCCTCAGATCTCAGCTTCTTGAGAAGGATTACTAGGCTGAGTCACCAGGACCCTTGATGTCTGAAGTAAACTGGAAGTAGTAGAAGTGTAGAAGGCATTATCAAGTACCCTATGTCTTAGTTTTGTTAGCAGGCTTTTTAAAAAAAAATTGAGATTAGGTGATTACATAAAATTTACATACTTTACAGTCCTGTGGAATAGTGATACTTAAAGTCACAAACACATTTTACCCATCACAAGGCAAATTGTCACCATCATGGTCTATAAAGTTTGCGAATGCTATGAACTTTGACAATACAATCATTTCTTCCACATCAGGGGATGTTTCCATTTCTTTCCTTTTGCTTAGTGTAGGCTGTTCCCTCTTTCCCTCCCATTCCTCCCTTCCCATCACTGTCTTTGGGTTGCTTAGTTCTTTTTCTTCTTTGTCCAGTGCAGCTGATGGGCCCATTTGTTATATGTGTTCCGTTTCCCACTTATTCTTAGTAGGCTGTTTTATCCAATGAACATTATTTTAATAGCCAGTGGTGTTCCAGGCACAGTTGTCTAGTAGGCTAAAAATACAAATGATGTAACCAAAATTCACTCATTAGCTGATCTGATTAACAAAATACATTTCATAGAAATGATTATAAAATGCATTGCAGTTAGGAACAGAATATATTTTATACTTACATATCTTATGGTACCCTAAACAATTATTAATAAAAACCAACCAACCCAAATGGTAAATAGAGTGAGCAACCCACCAGTTCCTTCATTAATTTAGTTAGTAAAAGAGAAAGATATACAGTTGCCAAGCTGAAATAGGTTTTATCATGGTTTAAACCTAGCCGACCTACAATCTTAAAAATTTCAGTGTTTTTCATCTGGCATTAAATCACCATTACAACTTTTGGTTTAAAGATTAGTTTTGGCTTCAGAATTAAGTTTCATTTAGTATTACCTTCTCACAGCTCACAGATTCTTGACCTGAGGTGGCTGAGAACCCATGTAATTAAATATTAGTTACAGAAACAAATAAAACATAAACAGGATAGTTTAATCCACTCTATTTAACATTCTTACTAAAACTGCATTGAGAAATTATGATACAGATATGATTTACATCAGAACATAACAACAAAAGAATGAGAAAGAGAGAGAAAAAGAGAAATGTCAGTTCTGTTTGAAGCAAGCATGTCTAGTTAGACGTTCATTGCATTTCTGGAGACTCATGGCTAATTTGTAAAGGACCACATGGGCCTTGTGGGTCACCATGTATCCCTTAGTCTGAAGGCTGGTGACTTAGAGATGGAGGGAGAGAGGAGAAGAGGAAGGGTTAAAAAGGCATGAAGTGGAGTGTTCACTGGCAGTCAAGATAATCTGGAACTACAGGCATTCCACAGTGTCCTCCTGGCCCGTCCTGGCCCGAGATGGGTCTGTTTTCTTACGCAGCAGCAGCAACAGGAGCAGCAAACACTTTCTCAGAGAGACAAGATCAACTTTTATTGCACAAGAAGCAAACGATTCCCCTTCTCCCTTTTCCTGAACTGGAGCTCTTCAAGGGCAAACACAAACAAGCTGATTCTCATCCGCTCGTGCCTCCGACCAGCAGGGGGCGCTCAATAAGAACCCCTCGCGAGCACCTTCTTCAGGGGAAACTGAGGTATTACGTTGGCTCCAGCGGGTCTGGTTGGTCAGTCACCATTCTCTAGCAGCTTTTGTAAGTTGTTTTGAATCTTGAAATAAGAAAAGAGAAGCTGTCATTAAACAGAACGGAGGATTTTAGGAACATATTTGCTGTGGTTTGTAAATGCTTGAGATTAATTTACACTACCTTGAGACTAATCTACTCTACCTTATGGATGTGTTAAATTTAAATGGAGTGGAATTAGGGGGAAGTGGGTTAATGTGTGTGTATAGGAATATGATAAGTTGTTTCACACAAAATGAAATGAAACATTAAAAAGTGGGGAAAAGGGGAGAAGAAAGAGTAATGGAGTGAATTTGATACAAGTGTATCATATGTATATAGGGAAATATCCCAATGAAATCTCTGTCTAACCAGTACAGGCTGATAAAGAGAAAATGAGAACAATGAGCTAGAGATACAGGTGTGACCCGATACATCCGGAGCCAATGTGGTCTTCACAAAACACGTCTGTAGTTTTAGTTAGACAATGTTACCTCATAATGTTGAGATTATAATGCACAACATGCCCAGGAGGATTACACATTTCATAGGGACAAGATCAACCATGTCCTGTGTTTGGGCCATTAAAAACACTCTCAGTGCTGAATAAATAGATTTTAAAGAATTCAGAGGGAGAGCCGGGC